AGAGAGAGAGAGAGAGGGAGAAAGAGATGGAACGACAGAGAAAGACAGATAGATATAGACAGACAGACAGACAGACATACAGACAGACAGACATACAGACAGACAGACAGACAGACAGACAGACAGACGGACAGACAGACAGACAGATAGACGGATGCAGGGGAGAGAGAGACGGGGGGCGTTCACAAATGTGTTTCTGTGAGGGAGAGGGAGAGTAAGAAAGAGACAGAACTAGAGACCGTGGACAAAACTGTGTTGCGGACTGAGACACAAAGACCTTGATTCCTGACGAAACTTAAAGGTATGTGATCGGGTAGACTTACGGACAGAAAGACAGATTCTGACGCAAATTTTCCGACGCAAAATGTGCGTGGTCTCTGTGCGCTCACCATTAAAAGTCTATGTTGTTGCTGCTGTTGTTGTTGTTGTTGTTGTTGTTGTTGTTGTTGTTGTTGTAATTGTAGTTGTAGTTGTTGTAGTTGTAGTTGTAGTTGTTATTGTTATTTTTGTCGTCGTTGCCTTTGTTGTAGTTGTTGTTGTTTTGGTGATAGCGTGTTGCCTTTTGTGTGAAAGAGGGTTTTTTGTTTAATGGTTTTTATTTAAAACATTTTTTGTTTTTTTGTTGTTGTTTTTTTTTGGGGGGGGTATTTGTTCTTGTGTTCTTTTCAAAGTCTAGACTTCTTTCCTTGCTCACGCAACAATTGCAGCTTCCGTTCACAGACTTTGAAGATCAAGTATCTGCGTCTTTGTGCAGGATGTACTTGTAGCCTCCAGAATCCGGTTTCCGATATAATTCACAAGTATGTCGATGGGATAGCCTGACGCTTACAGCTACAACTTAACAACGTTGTTATGTGAGAATATCAGACATATAATCTATGGTAGAGAAGGATGGTGGGTGGTTGCAGGCAGGTGCTCTGGTGTGGTTTGCTTTTTAACTGTCCTGTCAAACATCTATCGTCCTTGTCATTCTTCTTTTTTGTTTGTTACCCTCTTGCATCACCTCTAATCTTCTGCGTATATAACCTAATTACATTTCAAGTGCCGTAAAATGCTTACTAAATCGCATAAACACAAGAGAAGGATGATAAGAATTAAAAAAACAAAAAACGAAGATGACTGTGACAGAAAGCGTGCTCAACCTGCCAACGGCCTATTATCGCATTACATAATCGTAGCGCATTTCACCCAATAAAGCAAAGCGTTTTACTTTTTTTATCTTATATATTATTTTAGAAAACAATTCTCGCAATCATAGAAGGGGAGAACAACAGATTGATAGGGCGTGTGTCGCTGCAGAAAAATAAACAATCACAACGGTATCGCTTTCAAAAACAGATTTTGAATTCACCGAGCAATTCGAGGAAAACATTAACATTTTTACTTCTGTTGCTTGTGCGTTTTGTGTGTGTGTGTGTGTGTGTGTGTG